CCGCCGATGGGCAAAGTTGTGCTCTGGAGAATGCTGTTAACATCGTAACGGCTCATGTCGAAGTTAGTCACGGCGTTTAGTCCTCGGAATTTGATGGCCGCGATGTCATAAGCGTCTGCTGCTTCCTCTTGGGTGCGTACACGTATATAAATGTATAATATTTATGATCTAATTGTTTATAACGACATTGAGGGATTAGTTTTTAAAATATACGTATTATATGAATGACAATTATCAGCTACTCAAGAATTTTAATCAACTTACTGAAAGTTCCCAAGTAAAGATCTTTGTTCCCTGCAACTCGTCCGATCCTAGCCTGCCATCGTCCATGCTGGTGATGTCTGTTGATTTTCGTCCAAGTTATACTACACTCTTATAACGATGACGACAATACATATTTACAGTATTTATATTTTGATAATATTTAAGCAGTAATGTGAATGTGTGTGTGTGTGTGTGTGTGTATATATACACAGATACTCCAAAGAAATTCCTCTCTTCAAATAAGATTATCAGTAGTATATACTGTTAATCTGGATTTATATGTTCCAGAGCACGGTTTCAAATGATCAAGCATTTATATAATTGTTAAGGACATATATATATATAATTTGCTCTTTAAAAGGACATACGTAATTTATCATAATACAAGTAACTTATTGATTAGAATTAATAAATATTAAAGTTTCTGGATGTGGATGCCAACCATTTATTTCTATATAAAATAGAATTTGTATTCACATATGTATAGGTTACCTTGTTACTCCTCGATAAATGGATGCACCTCGAGAAAACCCACTGCTTTTCCTGCACACATCACATAAAATATTAATAATGTAAGTGCATAAATTTACATAAACACTTGAGTGAATTTAATTCATGCGCTTTATTTTGGTTTTGTTTTCATTTTCTTTTTTGGTTCTCCTCAAGAAACTAACTATACATGTATACATATATATATTATATGTCTATGCATATATATTTATATGTATTTGTATGAGTTTGAGTACTACTACCTTCGCAGAGACGCCACATACTCCTGCCGAGTCATGTGCTTCATTTCTTCCAACTCCTTTTCATAGTTGCTAATCTGCAAAGTTTATTCAACATAGATTAAACAAAGATTTTATTTAGTTACTACTAGTACATAATTACATTTTTTTTAAAAAGATAATTCCTCCTCAACTTTTTAAAGATCTTTTTTGGCTTAATGGGTACTTTTGAAAGAAATCAAAAGGACGAATTTACATGCCTTTTTAAGTTAATTAATAACTTGAGTAGGTATATATGTATATATGTGTGTATACAAAAATTAAGTTAAATTAAGATAGTGAAGATTACTTACGGGAAAATTTGTAGTGGTAGTAGTTCCCCAGTATTTTAATGCTGCCAAATCGTAAGCTCTGGCTGCTTTTTCTTCTTTGTCATAACCCCCTACAAAATTACACATTACAACAATTTATTTCTTCAACATTCTTTTAAGTTCAAGGTGCTTTTAATTAAGTTTATGATTTAAACTATAAATCTATGAACAGGAATTCAAAAAAACGAAAAACAAAGAGAATCTAAAAGTGGAGTTCTCTACATTTTGTACTTACCCAAATAAACTGCAAGAATTTGAGGTTGCGCCACATCAGTGGTATACATTCCCAAGACATACCCAGAAAAATCAGCACAACCGAATTAGTAAAGAAATTAAATGGTGATAAAATTTAGGGATGTTTTCCCATCTTAGAAATGCAACAAGAAAAGAAAAAAGAATATATCGTGTATATATCTATGCACCTTGTCTTCCTTTTCGAGTTTGGCCTTCTCTTCTGCAACTATTATCCCATAGATGAGCTTCATACCTCCCTGTCCATCTATGCCTATTAGAAAAACCCTACTATTATTAATAATAATCCCAAATCAGTTAAGAAAAAAGATTTGACATTTAAAAACCTAACAACCTGGTTACACCGCGGTATATGGAAGTTCTTTGTCCAAAAGTATCAATAGATTTCCTTGGCGCCTCCTCAATCGAACCAGTTGCCGTCTTCTCCTGCACCTTATTTATATCATCACAAGTCTCTCCATTCGAGTGAGTCAACCGCGGTGGCGAGCAACCCTGTGAACCGGTGCTCATCGAGAGAGACAAAGTCTGTGGACCGCCGCCATTGTTGTGCTTCGGCACCGACTCAGGCGACTGAGTCGGTGGCGGCTGGTTTCTTAGCCAAGTTTTGATCATGGATAACCCGATGGTGTTGTTGATGCTACTACTGCAACTGCTATGATCTTCTTCTCCATTAATATTAATGCTGTAAACATGATCAAGTCTAGCCTGGTCTTGAACGGAGGAAGAGTGGCCTTGGCCGAGGAAGTTTTCAAGCTTTGGCTCTTCTTCACTTCGGACTAGGCCTTGGGTATTGCATGAACTACCCATTAGCATAGACAGGTCTGAAGATGGCTTGTAACTACTATGTGGGTTCATGCCTAAACCCTTCATATTCCAATCTGCAGAAAAAAATTCCAAACAAAACTTATATACATAAATATAATTAGCAACTACGAACTGCTTGAAGTTGGATTTTGGCATATCCCCAGCAAGGATCAGCAAGTGTATATATATATATATATTATTTATTTACAGATGATAGAGAAATTAATAGTAGTGTTGATTTGTTTTTCTCAAGAAAGCAAAAGGGGTAGAGTTGAGGTTTAGAGGAAGCAAACCTTGGGATGAATGGTTTGTGTTGAGGGCTTCAAGGATGGAGAAAGCTGGGGGAGTTGAATCATGGGGAGAGGTCATGAGATCAAAGCAGTCGCCGGAGATTCCATCGGAGTTGAAGCAAAGGCGAGGCAGAACGGCTTTTTGGGAGTGAGGATGATCAGGCTGTGATGGGAGTTGTTGTGGGGAGAGCGAGAACCCTAACCAGTTGTTCATGGAGACTTTGAGATTATTACTGAATATATATCAGAGTGCTAGAGAAGTAATAAGAGAAGAGATATGAAAGCCAGGAGAGTATAGATATACATATATGTATATGTATAAGCTCTCATGCATGAAGTACAGATACAGAGAGAAAGAGATTTAGAGGAAGCTGCCTTTGTTTTGAATAGGTTAGAAGTGAAGAAGAAGAGAAGAGGAAAGGTCAAAATGCAAATTCAGGAGAAAATAAGTTCACCTCTCTCCCGGTGCAAGTAATTGGTGTATATATATATATATATATATGCAAAAAATATCTATTTTCTCACCCTTCAACTCAAGGGCAGAGTTGGGATTTTCCCCTTCTTTAACTAGAACACATTCGTTCACATGAAAATGAGAAAATGATGGGGCACGGTAGAAGGTATTGGGAGGTCGAGGACGGGGATATTATTGTCATCTTCTTTATATATTGAAATTAAAGTGTGTGTGCGTGTATATGTATATATATATATATATATATATATATATGATTTGTTTGGTTATAATGGTGTGCCAATAGTAATTTTTTTAATCAGATTTTTATCTAAACGAGGTGAATTAATTGGGAGCCCGTAAATCAAAACTCGAGTTGTCAATTAAGGGGGAAAAGAAAAAAGAATGCCCCTAAATACCGCTACGCAAAAGAAGGTTAAGAGACTTTTCTCATGCAATTCTCCCTGTCTCCCCAAAAATTAATTTTATTTTTATTTAATTTTTTTTAGATAAATACAAGTTATTTAATATAAATAAAAAAGATAATTCTAATTTATATATTTACTATATAATCAAATTTGTTTTTTATATTTTAAGTTTTACAATCATAAATTTTAGATTATTATATGTTAAAAATAAATTATAAACATATTTAATTTAAATTAAACATAAAATTAGATTAAATAGAATTATACTTTTGTTTTGTTCAAATATTTTTAACTCTATTCCTATTTATATTTTATATAATTATCAAGTCGAAATAGTTAATTTCTCATAAAATTTATATTCTGTTAAACATTTCAAACCCCAACGTCGGTGAGTACAGATGTTAGCACAATATTTTCAACTAGTAGAACATATAAGTATTAAATATGCAGCGTATCTATACTTTAATACACATCCCTTTGTGACGATATAATTATTTATTTATATATAATTGAGACATCTAAATTAATTTTTAAATCTAAAATATAAACTAACAAGATTTTCTTCATCATCTTCTATTGATCTTGAACTTCCTTTGAGCTGAATCGGGGTGAATTGTGATGAGCTTCACGAGCTCAGTAAGAAAAATTATTTTATAATGGAGACTTACATATATAAACTCACGCAATATATAAAATATAATAATATTTATAATAATAAAAAATCAAACAAAACATCACAACCAAAATATACAATAAAACAGAATTCATCATACGAAACATATTTTAATCATCACTCTTATAACCTAATTCTTGTTCTTATTTCAAATCAAACTTACACTCGAAATATCATAATATACTCGAAATATCACATCTAAGGTTTTATCATGCGATGTCGTTTATATCATCATCGAGGAGAGGTGAAATAGATCCCCCCATTACATGGATAACACACACATAAATTTCATAATGACTATAGCAGTTACATTTGTTAGGTGACCCACACTCACAAATATCTATCAACATCTGGACTATGTTTCAAACTCTATTCATGTGCAGGTTCATCATACCTGCTGAACTTCAACCACACACGCACCCTCCCCTCCTCGATTCAAACTAAACGAGTAGGTATTCAAGATCCTTACACTCTACACTCTTTTTAAAATTTTCTCATTTTTAATTAACTTATTTCCTACCTAAGATCTTAATTTCTATATATAATTAAACACAAACACACACCTACGAATTTTTTTTTTTCTAAGACTACTATAACTTATAAATAAGAGGATTCTAGTTAGGTGTTGTTTGATTTTAATTCCTCGAATGACAATTCTATTTCTTCGAGTGAATATTGAGAGCATTTGTTTCCCTAAAGGGATACAATGAGAATTCTTAAAAAAATTTAAATCGTCATTTCGCTCTTATCAGGCTTAGAATTTATTAGGTGGAGTATATCTATTTGAGAGTTTCTCTCATTTTGATAATTTCTTTATTTTAAAAATTTTCTCAGTCGAGAAATTTTCTTTCCACCTATGGGATTTCTCTTATTTAAGGAATGTTGCTCTCATTTGGAACCTCCCTGCTAGGATTTTTTTTTTCTTTTTATTGAATCCCAAATTTTCT